CTTCGCTGTCATTTCCTGAAGAAGTTTTGGAAACCCCAGCAGACCCTTTCGCCATCACTGACTTTAGACCATTGAAAGAGCTCTTCGTCTGTTTTTTCATCTGTGCAGGGTGTCTATATAGGGTCAGTCAGGCACCGCATGAAGCGGTAAGCCTAGAGTCTGAGGGATAATCTGTTTGCCTTTCCTGAGTGCTTAGGTAAAAAATGCAGGCGTTGGATCTCCATAGAGAGCCTGCTGTGTCAGATTGTCCACTTGGGAAATCTGTGTGTGTGTGTGTATGTATGTATATGTATGTGTATATATATATATATATATTTATTTATTTTTAAGTTTTCTAGGTGAATACATTATCACCTGGTTTTGAAAAGCAAAATGTAAATGAGTGATATTCAGCTTTGTTTTTTTGTTTTTTTTTAAAACAGGGTCTTGCTATGTAGTTGGGACTGGCCTTGAACTCACTATGTAGCCCAGGCTGACCTCGAACTTGTGTCGATTCTCCTGCCTCAGCCTCCCAATTGCTGGGATTCCAGGCATGCGCCACCATGCCCAGCTTGGAAAACATGTAGAAATAGTTCTGAGCCCTCTTCCCAGAGGTGGGAAGTTAATAATGTTGGGGCTTCCCCTTCCCCCAAAATCTTCCCAGGTAATTCTGGTCTACCTGCAGGTGTGAACCACTGCTGGCTTTGGTGTCTGAGTAGAAAGAAAAACAAAAAGCAAAGCTTGAGTGAGTTCTTGAGCATACAGAGGTCTTAAGTGCCAGGCGTCTTGCGGGGCACTGGTCATAAGGAACTGAATCACACCCAGTTGTTATCTGCCTCAGAGGGCAGAGTGACATGCAGGGAGCCAGGCTCAGTGCATTGTGTGCCCTGAGCCACAGCTGGCTCAGCATGCAAATGGGGGCGGGTTCAGGGCCCCTTAAGCAAGGTGACCTGGCACCTCAGTCACATCTTTGAGTAGGAATGGAGGAGTAGGTCAAAGGGCAGTGGTGAGAGTAGAGGCTCCCAGGAGCAGGGCCTCTGTTAAGCCTGAGGTCCTGAGGAGGTTTGGGGCCCAGAAGTGACATAGAATGAACCGTAGAAGCAACGAGCACTGTTTCTTCCCTCTGGATGTGTGTGGCTGCCCACAGGGCTCCTTCCCTCCCTCAGCTGAGCCAAAATGTCACTGAGTGTCACTGCCCCAGCGCCTGCCCTCCTGTATCCATTGCCTCATTATCTGCCTTTTGCTAATCATGCTCTGTTGGTGTTCTGTCAATATTTGTGGTCTGTCTTCCTTCTCTACATGACAAACTTCTTTTTCATTGTTGATTTTAGAGACAGGGTCTCAGTATGTTGTCCAGGCCAGCCTTGAACTTGTGTAGCTGAGGCTGTCTTGAATCACTGTCCTCCTTTGTCAGCCTCCCAGATACTGGGATCATAGGTGTGTGCCATCATGTCTGGCTCATACCATACACTCTGTAAAGGCAGGGATCTCTTCCTCTGTTTCCCCAACACATTAGTACACAGGACCTGAAGAACAATGGCAATAAAACCTGTGGAATGAATAAATAGTCAGGGGCCTCCATGAGCAGATGGTGTACTATGCCCCAAGACAGATACCTGGGACCTGTTTCACCACTGTTTGAGCCCTTCTCTGCCCCACTTTACGGGGCTTGACCTAGGCTGGCCACTTTCCTCAAAGGTTGCACTGCTTCCTTCCCTGAGGGCCCCCTTCTCCTGCTGGTCCTGTCTTGCCCCTGCATGTACCTTGTGGTTTGGCCTTCCTGTCTGCTTCCTCCTGGAGGATTTGTGGAGCACATGCAGCTTTCTCTGACCCTCAGCCATGTCTTAGATCTCATGCTGGCCTCTCTGGCCCCACTGTCACCCCGGCCATCTGGGCAGACAGTCTGTCCAATCCTGCTGGCTCTGGGGGTGATCCTAACCCTGGAATCCCAGCTGTCTTTCTTGATTTTTCCTGACCAACAGTGAGAGTTCTCACCTCACTCTGGATGCAACACTGATCTTTCCTGTCTTGTTGATGGACTCTCAAACCACCCTCTGAGTTGTTCCTTTTTCCAGATGGTCTTCCTCCCACGTGCTCCAGGACAGGGACCATGGCCTCCTGAGACTTCAGGGTCTTGTGAGACCCCATTTTTGTAGCCATAGCTCTGTGCTTCATGGTGCACCTCAGACCTCAGAGGCATTCATGTCCTGTGGCTGCAGAGCCTGCAGGCTGGGATTTGGAAGCCCAGGTGAGTCTGGAGAGGCTACCAGTGTTGGGGCTGTCACTTCAGCCCCTAGCCTCCCTGGGTCTTCATCCTCATCCCCAGATCTCTGCCAGTGGAAACTAAGCAAAACAACAGCAATAAAAATAATAAAACCAAACCAAAACCTTGCAAGAGCAAGCTTGGAAGTGGTACTCATGTAATGTGAATAATTTTAATCCCTTTGGTTAAATTTAAGGTTACTGTCAGCTATCTCTTTAAATGACAAAAGCTTATTGAAAGAAAAAAAATGAAGGTCTTCTAATTAAGGTGGAATCACATAACACTTTGGGGACTCAAAGCATGATTTACTCTTCATTACAAAGTCATTTAAGGTTATAATGAAAAAGAACACCCTTAATTAATTTTTATAGGTAAGTATTTACATAAAATAATCCTTTTGAAAGGCACATTTCTTCACAAGTTAACTGATTCAGTCCTCCAAAACCCCAACAGGTAGATGCTATTGTTTTCTCCATTTTATTGATGAGGAAACTGAGGCATGGAGAGGCTATCTTAGTTACTTTTCTCATTGCTGAGACAGAATATCTGACACCTGAAGTTAAAAAAGGGAAGGTTTACTTGGTCCACAGTGTGTAGAGGCTCCAGTGCAAGGTGACATGGCAGAGGGTCCTTGCAGAGGAGAAACAGTTCATGGCAGGGCAGGCAGAAGGCAGCAAGCAGCAAGCGACAAGGGACCAGAGACCTTTTTTGCTCCTTCTGTCTTAACCCGCTGTCCACCCTCAGGGTGGATAGCACTCTCGCCCAGGGTGGGGCACCCTTCATCCTATCCAGAGGTATTCCAAACCAATCACTGGACTATATTAGTTACATATACTCTAGAACCCATCATCACACTCTCCAGATCCAGCCACCTCCAAAAAGTCCCACCTGTGACCACATAAGGCTTTGGGAGGGAAATCTAGACACAAACCATAGCAAAGGCTAAAGCACTTCTCCAGGGGTGTGTGGCTGGTGGGTGAGAGCACCAGGAGAGGTGTAATCCTTACTTCTAGGTGGCATTCTTGGGTTAGATCTGGGGTTAATAGTGTCTAGGAACCCTTGGTCTCAGCATGGTCTGTGGGGAGTAATATATTGACACCCAGGTTAGAGGCCTCAATTTCAGAACTTCTTTGGAAAGACCAGGCAAAGGCTGTGCCGGTGTTTGAGGGTCCAACGTGCTGTGGAACTCTTTGGTCCACTCTTAGGGGCCACTGGCAGATGTGTTTCAAGCTAGGCTGCAGGCCTGTTTGGTGCATGCCCATGAGATGAAAATGACTATAAATGTTGGGCATCTCTGTCCTGGAAGAATTGTGTGGCCTCGCTCAGTAGAGAAGTGAGATGTCACCACCGGAGTTTGGCCTGTCTGCTTGTGTTCCCCTTCATTTGCAAGGATAAGCAGGAGAGGGGTTCCTGATGTTCCCACAACATCTGTGGGAGCTGCTCATCTTCAGGAGGGCATTGGAGCTTGACGTACAGAGTAAGAGCTTGTGTTTGCTTCTGATACCTCTTACACCAGGATTTAATCTTGCCCTAAGCAGAGCCACTGGTATCGTGTGTCTCCCCTTTACCCTGCTCTGGGAGGCGGGCATAGCTTGAGACTGGCTTCTTGGCATGGAGAGCTCTAGTATTCTGTCTGTGGGTCTGGTGTCCTGTACTGTGACTGCAGCCCAGCTGCCTAGAGTCTGTAAAGCCAGGTCGGAAACAAGCTGATGAGAAGAGAACCTGGCCTGGGAGAGTAGTTCAGTGCTTGCCTAGCACACTTGCAGCATGTGATTTTGATCTGCAGGACCACACCAAAAACAAACAACAGCAACAAATAAGGATCTTGGTTGTGATTTGCATCATTTTACAGAAATTCCTTCTGCTTTGCTTTAGCTTAAGCAATGGGTAAGCAATGGGAAGGGACATCCAGATTTTGTCATTTAGATGTCAGTGATTCAGTGGCACTGTTTTCCATTTTGACAAGAGTATGTGAGCTTTCCAAAAATCTGGCCCAGCCTTTGAAAGCCCCCCTGCCGCGTTGGTTCCTTAGTTTCCTGAGGAAGTAATGGAATGTTCTCCTGATACCTTCTCACCTGGGGACAGGTGTTCTAGCTGTTGGCCCACTATGTAACTGCATGGTGTTCTAAAATAAAATGCCAAGTTTGGACAGAGTGAAGCTGATGTGTGTGCCCAGTTTGTTCGCAATCATGGCTTATACGTTTGAGGATTTTTGCAATGTCAGCTGCCATGTGAAACCCTTTATGTGCAGGTCCTTGAGAGCAGAGTTGTTTCCATCTTGCAGAAGAGAAGGTGGAGACTTGAGGGGTCAGGGACTTAACTGAAGCTGCACAGCTGTGCAGCCTCTGGGACTGTCTCCCTGAATTCGTAAAGACTCTTTGGGTAATGAAACCCTTTGTGATGCTGAAACTGTCACTATATTTGCATTACATTTAACATCAGCATTGTAAGTTAGATGTTTGTTGGTAATCCTGGAATAAAACTAAAACAGATACAAAATGCCTTTCCAGATATTTTGGGTGATTTTGGGGTTTTCTAGAGTTGCCTGCACAGCAGGGGCCCAGAACTTTTCCTCCTTTTCCCCTGGCCAATTGTAAGGCCGCCTCTTAGTTGATCCCCAGGATTTGGTCCCCTTGTGACATGGACCTATTGCCATCAGTGGAATTTATGTTCTGCATATTTCTTCTCTGAAAGCCTTGTTTTTACTCCTCTTGAGAATATTTTTCTGGAAGAGGAAAAAAAACAAAACAGTAAAATTGGCTGTGTTTTAGAAATGTTAAGTTTTATTTATGGTATTGTGGATTTTGCTTTTAACAGCCACACCGAGGAGAAGACTCAGTGGGAACACCCGAAAACTGGAAAAAGAAAACGAGTAGCAGGAGGTTTGTACATCGTGGTCGTAGGGAAGAACTCCTGTGTTTGCAGCGGTGTTAAGAGATCAGGAGGGTGTCACGGGCGGTGAGGCAGTGTCCCGTGTCCTTCCCAGAAGCTCCCCGCTGGGGGACCAGCAAGGGACCTGACTTGTGCTCTGAGGAAGTGAGACAATCCTGGGGAGGAGGAAGAGGATTTCTTGCTGGTCTTAAATAAAATGTATAAAAATAATTGTGGCCTTTGACTAACAGTTTATATTAGGTTTCTCTACAGTTGTGTGCACTGTTTGTAAAATTGCTCTCTGTTTATTTATACCATGGCATTAAGTGTTAGTATTTTATAGCATTCTACAAAGAGCCCCATGACTTCTAGGTGCTTCTCAGCATTTAATCATTTATTGTGCAGTCCATGGAACGCATGTATAAGAACACAAAAAAATAATATGGGACAATTCCTGCCCTTAAAAGGTTTAGAGTCTAGTTCAAGTGACAGCAGGTGCATCTGAAAAAATAGTGCAACTGCTCTGCAGCATTGTGTGCATCCTACAGGTCAGCAGAATGATGATGCTGGGTGCCTGCTGGGCCCAGCACACAGTCTGTGAGCTCATTCAGGGCAGGGCCTCCATTGACTGAAGCAACTAGGAAGGCTCCCAGTGAAGGAGGAGTCAAATAGAATGCTTAAGAACTGTCAAGATTGATGCTGGGCATGATGTACACAAGATTACGTGTGTAATCCCAGCTCTCTAGGAGGCCAAGGCAGGAGGATTCTAAATTCTAGCCCAACCTGGGCAGCTTAGCTTAGACCTTGTCTTTGTGGTTTGTTTCTCGGTCCATCCCGCACTTGAAAACAGAATGATACAGAGCTTTCATTAAAGCAAGGAGCAGAAATGTGGAATCCATTTGGAGGTTTGGACCAAGAGTAGCAAGCTGGAGCAGCAGTTGCTGTTCAGGAGGGAGGGGCTTCATTCACCAGACCCCACACAAACCTGTCTCCTTCCTGTGTTTCAGATTTGCCCTATGGATGGGAGCAAGAAACGGATGAGAACGGACAAGTGTTTTTTGTTGAGTAAGTGTCTACATGGAAACTGTTCTTGGTCATTTTTCTGTTTGGTAGGAGTTTGTAATATGTAAGTCTTACATATTGACCACATACAGCTATGTGGGAGAATGCATCCATAATCTTGTCAGCAGGAGAAACTGCTTTTGGTGGATTTTGGATTTATTCTTCCAGTCTAGCTTTTTCTTACTTCTCCCTCGGGCTATTATATGTGTACAAGTTTTCTTAACTTAGGAAATGTTCCATGTGAACAGTTTAATAACCCGATTTTTCCGAGAACCTGGGAGGCTGAGGCAGGAGAATCACCACAAGTTTGAGGCCAGCCTGGACTACAGAGTGAGTTCAGGACCAGCCTGAAGTACATAGTGAGATCCTGTCTCAAAAAAACACCCCAGAAACCAGCCTACATAATACATTGTGAGCATTTTCTCATATCCTTCAGTATTTTTAAGATGATATTTAATGCTCTACAGTATCCTTTTGTACAGATATAATGTATCATATCACCTTTTGGCCATTGGTGCTGTTAAATTTATTATTGGGAATCGATAATTATAAATACTTTTGAACATCATTATCTGTAACAGTTCTTCACATCTCCGATTCTGTCTGTAGAATAAATTCCAGCAACAAGCTGCAGTAGTAACCCCCTGTCTAGCAGACCGCAGAAGCCAGGCAGATTCTTCTCATCCTGTGTCTATGCTGTGGTGTGTCTACTCCCAGCCCCTGGAGTTCAGAATGAATGTTTCTTGACCACCTGTGTTTAATGCAGAAGGCTGTGTATTTGATAGGATTAGGGTCAATTGGTTATAGAAGTGGATTTAAGCCAGAGTTTAAACATAGCAACTGTGACTCTGATACTACAACTGTAACCACATTATTTAATGGACTATTGCTACACCAACTCTTACGTGTGAGATGAAAATATTCTGTGAGCATCTGGCTGAGTGCTTTGGAGAACCTCAAAGGCAAGTAGCTAAAAAATATTTTGGTTCAACCCAGGCATAATGGTGCATGCCTGCAATACCAGCACTGGGGAGGCTGAGGCAGGAGAATTGCCAGTTTGAGGCCAGCTTGGACTACAGAGTGAAGTGAAAGCCAACAAAGACTACAAAGTGAGGCTCTGTCTCAAAAAAAAAAAAGAAAAAGTTTTAGTTCAATCAAGTACATTGAAAATGCTAAACAAATGCCATAAAATTACAGAAAACATGAAGCATTCAAAATTCTTTGAAATGCTAAGTTTTTGCTCAACTGTAAAGAAAGTGAAAGCAGAAACTGCAGCTGCTATGCTAGGGTTATGCTTGGGGAAGGAAAACCACACTGCAATCCATGTGGCAGACCCACGCTTGAAGAGTAGGCCTAGGTATGTTTGAAGGAAATGTTAAAAAAAAAGTGTTTATGCTACATATATAGGTTTTCATTAAAAATAATAATAATCATTCCAGACTAGGTATACAGCTCAGAAAGGGATCACGTCAATGCCTAGCATGCACAAGGCCCTGGGTTCAATCCCTAGAATGAATGAATGAATGAATGAATGTTTAAACTCTGGCTTAAATCCACTTCTATAACCAATTGACCCTAATCCTATCAAATACACAGCCTTCTGCGTGTGAAGAACTGTTACAGAGATGTGAAGAACTGTTACAGATAATGATGTTCAAAAGTATTTATAATTATCGATTCCCAATAATAAATTTAACAGCACCAATGGCCAAAAGGTGATACGATGCATTATATCTGTACAAAAGGATACTGTAGAGCATTAAATATCATCTTAAAAATACTGAAGGATATGAGAAAATGCTCACAATGTATTATGTAGGCTGGTTTCTGGGGTGTTTTTTTGAGACAGGATCTCACTATGTACTTCAGGCTGGTCCTGAACTCACTCTGTAGTCCAGGCTGGCCTCAAACAAAGTCAGCTGCGGATGGGCCAAGGCTGGCTTCATAGTCCTCTGGGCCACCAAGGCAGAGGGGATGTTTGTTGTTGACCAGTACTTTGTTATAAAGCTTTTCTCTCCTGCATTTATAAAACTCTTTCTCCTCAAGAAAGTAAGGCTATCAGACCTTTCCTTATGTGTTGCAGTTTTTTTTTTTTTTTTTTAACCTTTGTTGATGTCTTTAAACACCAACTGTAGGAATTCTGAAATTTTGTGTAGCCAAGCCTGCCTTCTTCTGTGTGGTCTCTGCCTTTGTACAGTGCTGGAACAGTTGTTCCCTGAATTGTTTTAATGGTAGTTGGCCCAGAGCAGCATTCCCAGGGCAGTTGTGCACCTGCTGCGGCAGCATCATGGGCTCTGTGTTGGAAATGCCACCATCCAGCTCTAGTGGGGCTGGCGACCTGTGCCTCCCATGTCCTCGTGGGCAGTCTCTGCCTGCTAGGCTGTGAGCTGCCATTTACTTTGGAGGGGCAGTGCTGACTTTCCTGAACTGGGCCAGAGTGTATTGTGTGCTTTGAGGGTCGTATGGTCTCTGTTGCAGTTTTTAGCTCTGCTATGAGCAGCCATAGACTATAATAATCATTGGCATTGCTCTGTTCCACTCACACTGCATTTACAAGAAGCAACAGTGGGCCATTGCTGCCTGGGGGATAGAGTTTGCCAATCGCTGGCCTCATTCAGACACATAGGCAGGGGCTATGCAGGCAGGGGAGAGCGTGGCTCCCACTGGTCTCATAGCTCTTGGAGCCTGGAGCTGGGGTTCTGGAGGGCGGAGGGTACAGTTTCCAGTTTCAGGCTCTGTGTACCGAGGGGCGTGGGGGTGACTCGCACATGTGGCTCCTGTGAGCCAGCCCTAGCAAGCCATCATCTGCTCTTACCCTTGGGTCACCTCTGCTTCTTTTGGCAGGCTGAGGGTATAATGTTTAAAAAGATTGGCTTATTCCTGGGTCTTCATATTTATACAGCAGAGAGTATAGATTTTAAATATAATTTTATGCATGGCAAGAACTTTTTAAATCATAAAATCTCATGTATTTCTGCAGAGTTCTTAATACTTCTAAGATATTTTTTGTGATATCTTGAGGTCTTCCTTTCCCTCAAATCTCAAAAATACACTTAGAATGTAGGAAGTAAATTCTGTTATAAGGAATAACCTAACTGTCTCTGTGGACCAGTACATCTTATATTGTTTCTCTCACTTTCAGATCATTTCTAGTTCAGAAGAATAGTACTTGTAAGAGGGTTGGGTATCGCCTTAAAAACGGACATCATTAGAATTTTACTTGTTGGTCATTTTCATACTTACTATGAACATGTTCACGTTATGTATCGCTGCTGGGTGGCTCTGACCCTTCTGTGTGGTTCACCTCCAATTATCCCACGTGATGGGACAGTCTTCATGTACCACCGGTGGCTCAAGTCCATGGGAATGTTAAGACCTTTACTGTTCGGAGTTTTGTCTGTTCGTCCTTTTAGGCCTTTGCATAGTGTGAAGGGATTTAATCTGAAGCTACTGGAAAGAGTGGCTGACAGATCTTAGGCCACATTTCATGCACTAAGTAAAAATCCAAGGCGTTCTCCTCAGGTTGTCTTTGATATCGCAGGGTACAGGCAATGGTTATTGTACATTACAGCATGTTTTATAGCAGCTTTGATGGAAAGGTTTTGATGAGTATCTTTCTAGGCAGGAGTGTAATCCTTCTGGAGGGCAGAAGGTAAATTAAACGGGCCCTGGTTCCTTCCAATTTAAGAATAAGCCTCTGATAGATGAATAATGGGGTTTGCCTCAACTGGAAGATTATCTCGTATTTATAACTGCTGGTGTTCACTACTGTGAATTCACTGCTTTCTCTTTTCCTTTGCAGCCACATAAATAAGAGAACCACCTACTTGGACCCAAGACTGGCCTTCACCGTGGACGACATCCCGACCAAGCCAACCACCAGGCAGAGATACGACAGCAGCACCACGGCCATGGACATCCTGCAGGGTCGGGACTTCACGGGCAAAGTGGTTGTGGTCACTGGGGCTAATTCAGGAACAGGTAGGCTGTGAGTTTACTGCTGTTCTATTTATTTAGTTTTTGTTGCCGCTCTAGTGAAATTCAATTAGATGTAACTATGATGAGACCTTTTTTATAGTGGTTCTCTAATTTAAAGATGTGTTTATGGCCTTTTCAGCTATTGTTTTATTAAAACCATCGCCTCTCTTCAAATCAGTGTCATCATGGCAGGCTTTGTAGGGGCCGACCTTGAAATCTCTGAGAACTGAAAACTCAGCAAAAGACCGTGGCTATTTTTTGATATTCAAGCATTAGACAACAGGCTCCGTCTAAGTGTTTTGACCTGGTCTGTGTGGTACACGGACATATTCCAATTACCTGGGTTATTCAAACCAAAATTGATTGGTAATGGGATACAGGACAACCGCGTATCCGGACTGTGGAGCCAAGGATACTGCAGGTTTCCACTGGTCACCGCACCTATCATCTTCTGCTGGAACAGGATCTTATTTCTTCATAAAACTGGAGGTTTTGTCCTTGTCTTAACCTCCAGATTAACCCTCCTAATTGCCAGCGCCTTACCACAGTGATCATCGTGAGGTGGATGGCTCAGGATGGCCGCCTCCTTCCTCAGCATCCTGGGGTGTTGAAGAAACAGCAGCCAACCAGATGCCGGCACCATCCATCTTTCTGATAGGATCTTATTTTAGTTTGGTCTATTTATATCAATATCAGAATCAGTAAAAACCAATTGCTTTGAGAAAGGGTGCGCATTTTCTGGGAGAAATGGAATGGGGCTGTCACATGCTGTGTCTGACTCCTCCCACCCCCTCAGGACCCCTGCATTGGCTCCTTGTCAGTTTTGATCTCTGCTCTCCTTTCTATGTCTTTACTATCTTTGAACTGTTCCTTCTTGAGTCTCTTGGAACATCCCCTAGCATCTTCAGGGCAAGCACTGGAGATGAAAATACATTCCTCCCAGGTCAGGTGTGATGCAGCACAGGGTCTCACCATCCCAGAGCAGAACTCTTCACTGCATTTGTCTACAAAGGTAGAGAACAAATGGAATTCTTTGTTTTCTTTTTTCAGAAGGGATTTCTTTAAAATCATCTCTTAAAAACTCATCCTGGGCTCACGACAGGTCCAGTCCAGCTTTTCCAGCTTCTTCATTGGGGTCATCATCACTGGTGTACAAACTAATGACTTGATGTCAGAATCGGTGACCAAATTCTCATTGATCCAAGAGGCCATATGTTGTATTGATTGTGTTGACTTCTCTTATGTTTGAGAGTATGGACCAAAACAGTTTAGAAAACTTAAAAAGTAAGGACTTCAGAGAAACACCTTTGCTTTTAAACACTCAATTAAAAATTGATAAGACAGTTTCATTCCCTGAGTCTTTTAACTCAGTTTTTTCTTTAGTCAGTAAGCTATGTGAAGACTGATTACTTCCTGCATAAGTGTTCAAGCTCCTTTGTCTGATATTAGATAGCAGACTTTTTGAATACAACAGTGAATGCAGTTGCGAAGATTTGCAACACAAGGCATAGGATATTGTTATCCAGGACTCCTAGAGTTGGTTTAAAATACAGAAAATCTGTGGCTGTTTCTTCATGCTAGAAAGAGACAAGGAGATTCTGCAATATGGAGAAGAAACAGGCTGTTGATCAGAATGGACCTCAAACCTCTGAAGCAAAGCGGACGCTCTGTTCCTCTTCACAACCCCTGCTTGCCCATGGCACTTCCTTCCTGTGTGCACAGTTCCCTAGGTGGGTGCTGCAGGAATGTCTGGTGACGGGGTAGAACAGGTTGGAGGAGTCCCACTGTTCCCATGCTCAACGCAAAGCCCAGCTCCCAGCTTCCCTCAGAAACTCACCCCCTCCACCCTGAGAAGTGGGAATCTAATTGAGTGCTGTTAAGTTATTCTTAACTTTTGAAATAATATGCTATGAATTCTAGGCAAATACTTGCAAATTGCTTTTCTTCTGCTACACTGGTGTCAGGCTTGAAAGAAGAGACTGAGGATAGACATTGGCTTTCCATCCAAACTGAGCTGGCTTTTGTGTCCTGCCTGGCTGCCTGAGAAAGTGTCCTTGCCCAGGCATGCTGTGCCTTTATATAAAATCCTTCCTTCATCTGGGCTGCAATGTGCCGATTTATAATTTGGGATCACTACCTTACTTCTGCCTATTTCATACGAAGCAGCTGACTTTTGAGTAGATTGGACATATTTGTTTCCCGGACTACTGGGATGCTTAGAAGTCACCTTCTGTCAAAGCTTCGGTGGTGTTTTCAGCGATGTTTTCCTTTGGCCACGTGAAGCGAGGCCCACCACTAATCAGTGGTTGAATGTGTTACCTTTGGATTCCTGTTCTCTTTGAGATTGAGTGGGCTGGTGTAGAACATAATGGTGTTCAGTTTGTGCACGGAGACTTCATATCTAAAAGTGTAGACACCTGATTTTCCTTACAAGGGGTGCTTAGCAGACCTGTTGTGCCCGGTACCTCCTTTAGAAAACAAATGTCCCCCAAGGTGCTGCTTTGTTGGAATACTGGAGGTCCCATTGGCGAGGTCCCTGGTGAGCACTGGAGCCTCTCTTTCTGGAGAGACTTCAGGGTTCTAATAGAGCCTGCCCATATCGAAGGAGAGTTTTATCTTGTGAGCATCATCCTCCCCGTGGTCATAAGTGACATAGGAAGCATTCTTTTTTTAATTTTCAGTTTTATTTTGTGAGACAAGGACTTACTGTGTAGTGCAGGCTTGTCTTGAACTCACGGCAATCCTTCTGCCTCAGCCTCCTAAGTGCTGGAATTATAGTCATGTGATACCATGCCCGGCTCTATGTTGAGTTTTTAATGTTCAGTTACTAAGGCGATTGGAGAAAGTCTTTCTCAGATCCTCTCAGAAAGATCAGGATGACTGTGGAAGTTGGACGGATTTGGGAAAAATGGCAGGAGTGCTTTGGTTTCACGAGATCCTTGTTTTTGTGGCTCAGGCTTATAACTGGATTTTACTTTATGGACTCAGGTATTTAGGTTGGGGGTGGGCAAACCATTGCCCCTGGGCCACATCTGACTTGCTGCCTGATTTTATAAGTACGGTTTTATGGAATGCAGCCATGCCCCTTTACCTCATCACCAGTCCAGTGAAGCAGTTACAATTACAGCAGAGCTCATGTGGCCCACACTACCTGAATTTGTTTTTTTTTTTTCCTGGTACTCAGGACCTTGTGCTTGTGAGGCAGGCGTGGTGCCACTGAACTAAATCCTGGCCCTTCACAACCTAAAGTATTGCTGTCTGGCCCTTTACACATGAAGCTTGCTGACCCTGCGGGAGAGGGTCTGGTGGGCTCACCCACACTCTGAACAGGCCGCAGTGTCGGTGAGATTTGTATACTTTGGTTGCCCCAGGTCCCAGGGAGATGTGGTCCCGCCAGCAGCCCTTGTCCCTGGCCACAGCCTTGCCCCTTTTTTAGGGAGTTGGAAGGATTAGCATGTTTTCTCCTCTGAAACTAACACTCTTCTGTCCTTGACCTTTGTTTGACCAGCTTTCCGAACCCGAAGAATGTAGGTTGAGAGCTGTAGCTTGTGGACCTCTCAGTGGAGATCAGCATCTCAGTATCCAGGGGGAAGCCATCTCTTCACCCAGAGCTTCTGCTTGATGGAGAGGCCGGGAGACCCTGCCCTGACCGCGGCCCATAGACGAGGGAGGAGTCCTTGCTGCTGTGCACAGTTAGCTGAGCGGGAGGGGCAGGCATTTCCTGGCTCTGGAGTTAGCAGCGTGGTGGCCCTGATTCCCTAAAATCGAATGAACATGGCTTCAGCCTTGTGAGGACTGTATACAAATGCTGCAAGTCTTGGAGGGGCTGATTTCTTTAGGCTAGGGAACTTCCCACCCCAGAAGGGCCCATGCTGCTTTCCTACACTCCTGGTGCCTGAGCTCGTGACAATGTGTGTGCCTCTGTGAGTGTAACAAGTGCAGGTGGACTGCTCATCAGTGGTCCCAAGGAGGGGTCCCCGAACACCTGGCTGTGTGGTAGCAGCTCTTGTGGCACATACAAAACGTGTACTGAGCCGGGCATTTCAGATTTGAGTCAGGATGAAAAGTTTCTTTCACCGTTTGAACCTTTTTTAATGCAGGGCTGTATCAGATGTGTGGCTTTGACTCTGAAATAGCCTGGCCTAGTCTCAATTTTAGAGCTGGAGGACCCGTTAGCAAAAACAAGATTGCTTTTTTCGCCCAGAACAACTACAAGCTGGCTGTCCTGGTTATAGTGTAGACCACTGAAATGGTTGAATTTCCTACTGGAATTTAGGTTTTATCACGACCTCCTTCAGGCTCGTGGTGGGAATTTGTATTACACACCCTCAGCACAAGTTGTACACTTGTCATATAAAGCGGCTATGCTCAAGCTGCAAAAGTCACCCCCAAACTTGTTCTCCCCAAAACAAGGTGAAGGTACCAGATTTTTCTTTCTTAGAAATTAGTGTAGTTTGGTATAAGTAGTACAGAGGTACCTCGGTTCATGAACTTAGTTTGTTGTACACTTTTGGAAAAGGTGGCCATGTTTGTGTTTGTGCCTGACGCAGTTTGCTCACAAAAAACAAATTTTGCCAAATGCTTCTATTTGCGAATCAGATTGTTTGCAAACAAGCATTCGTGAACTGAGGCGCCACTGTGTAATTATGTCTTAGCATTGAGGGCCTACCTCTAAAAACTCGAGGTCTTCTTCCTAAATTCTGTCCTGTAGTTTCAGTGGAAAGTGCAGTCGCCATGTTTTCATCTTACAAATCACCACCATGATGGATTCATATCTGGTGTAAATCCCACCAGTTCTACAGTAACACAGGAAAGTTAGTTTTTCTTCATGTAGAAAATCATATTCATTTTTAAGATTCTGAATCCCCACTTCCCAATTGTGGGCCCTACCAGTTTCCTCCACACCACCAGGTCCCTGTTTTCCACACCTAAATTTTGTCTTCAAGCTGGGCTGTTGACCTTTTTTGTAGTTATTCTAATAGATCCTATAAATCCAAGCCCAT